GTTAATCTTTACTGAATTGAAATAACTTCTGCTTAATATAAATTTTAAATTGATGTTTTAAAAATGTTAGCAAAATTTTTTCTCTTTGTAATGTATACTTGCGTACGAAAAAGAACAGATAAGTAGTTTTAATTAAGTTTGTGATAAACAACCAGGCTGTTGAAATTGACTTTTTACCATTTCAATAAAACATGGTATAAACGTTTCCTATAATAATTTTAATTTTAACGACATGAAGGAAGTTGCTGTTCTCTAGTATTCTCCGCATCTTATGTTCTCCGACTGCTGATTGTGGTTCTGTCTCGCGACGGAACACCCTCCCTGCTGCTCAACATCGTCATTTACTCTCGGACGGGGAACGCATACAAAGTGGTCGATATGGCGGTACTGCTGACGTTGGCTCCGATATTTCCGCCGACAAACGGTGCCAATTTCCAACGCCGCCTTTTCCAACTCCCAGTCTACAAATAAACGCCTACTGCTTTTTCCAACTTCCTCCTTTTTGCCTATTTTCCCACCATAATGATGTGTTGCGGTGTAGACTTGGAGTAACGGTGAGATGCAAAACAATCTCACGGAAGGTTTCAAAACAACTATTAAGAATATAATAAAAATTCCCCTAATTTCCACAAAGGATTAAAACTGATTTGTACATTTCATTTTCTAAGGGTAACAAATCAATAATAATTAATTCTCCTCAAGGGACCAAAAAACGAGAGAAAGCTGTTTTTGATTGGCCATTTTTTCCAATTAGCGGTGCACAAAAGATGGGAACCGACCCTTTGTCCGCCTCAAAGGCAGGAAATTGCAATGAAATTATCTCCCTCACTTGACAAAGAAGAATCAAATTAGCGAGAAGGTTATTGGTGATTTTGGAGCTCTCTACGTTGGGAGCTAATTTTCCCTCAGTTTGAAAATATTTTAGAAAATTCTTAGAATTCCTTTTAGTGGAGATATAAAAGACGTGTGTTTGCGCAAGGCCCGGAATTTGCAATTTCCGCTAATTGCCTCGCAGCCAAGGTAAACAAAATTTTAAATTCCTTTTTGAAGCACGCAGATTGCTTTTCTCCGGAGACGCGAGGAAGTTAAAAATATTTATAATTTTGGGTCCCTGGATAAATATTTAACTTCGCATGAGAAGATTCGCCTTTTTGGAGAAAGCTATAAAGTGGCTGTGAATTATTCGCTCCACTTGACGCGTTTCCAAATTGCGTTCCTTTGCAGACTGAAAAATGGCGAAATTATTCGCAGGTGGAGGCGAAAAAACTATAAAAGAGAAATAAAAGGAATTCATTTGGGTGTGCCTGGGTCGATTCAAAATGTAGAGGCTCGTAAATCTTGAAGGCATTTAGCCAAAAGATTTCTCTTGAAAGGCAAAATGTGGTGGATGGAGAGAGATTACATTGTTTGGCCTTTTCTTTTCACGACGAAGGACGAGGCACAACAGAGCCGAGCAGAAACGAAACACAGCACTTTTCTTTCGCTACTCTCGCTAGTCTCGCGGCTATGTATGTTTTTCCTAATTCATATGGCAAACGCAGAAAAGTGCTCCAAAATTTAACAGCGTTATTGTGATATTCTTTTCTTTGCACAAAGACGAGAGACGCTGACACGGATGAGAATTTCTACCACTTTATAATATTTAATCGAGTTTTTTTTTTCCAAATATACACTCACAATGATAAAAGCACGCTCACATGAGACGGGAAACTTCTAAATTAAAAATATAGTAGCTTTATATAGAACCGATTAGATGAATGCCAGCGGTAAATGAAACGATGCGGCTGCTGGCTCAGATTAAATTATGAGTGAAATGTTGCGTGTGGGTTTTGAAAAGTTACAATTAAATTAACCTGCGAATGTATTGATGTTATTGAATTATCCTATGCTGAAGGCTGTGACATTCAAATTAGATAAACATGCAGCTTCAAATATAATCTTATTATAGAATATACCAAATCATGCAATTAATTTTGAATAATTCCCCAAAATCTGTTCAATATTGGCAAACAGCCCCCCGGGTGGCAATTATAATTTGAAAACAACAATACCACAAAATTCAATGTGTAGCTCTCGGCAAAGGAAACAAACGCATTGATTTAAATCAGTGCTTGTGTAAATATAATGCTATTACATAATAAAATTTAAACCCGCTTATAAATATATTTTGAAACATTTAAAAAATATGGAATTTGCTATTGCACGTGAGAAATTTAAGTGCACATATTTTCATTTTAATATCTATGTAGCGGAGATATTGTTTAATTTAATTTTAGACGACTTATCCTTTCAAATTTAAATCATTTTGACTCAAAATTTTTTAGTTTCATGATATGATTTTGAAATCAAAAATTATTTATTTTAACTAAACTTTTTGTCTAAATTTGCAACTAAATTTATTGTTTTGTGGAAGTTTTTTGTTAAATTATTGTCAGTGAGTGTGTATTTTTTGCCTTTTACCTTATTAGTGCAGATTAGAGTGTTCTGTAATCTCTAATGTTTTTGTTGTTATATGAAATCTTTTTAACTGTTTTTCTGATTCTAAATCAGCTAATTTTTAATGTATTACCGGATAGTAATTTATAATAATGGTTTATCGAACACCATAAAGCAGGTAATTTAAGTAATTATTGTACAACATAGAGTACAATAAATGTGGAATCCCATAATCCATAATTAGCACATTAATTTTGCCTTTGCTCCGTTGAGAGCTTCAAAGCTTAAAACCGCATCACATCATCAACCTTTGATCTATGAGATGGAAATCCCGCAAAATAACCTACTTTAAATTATGATTTTTAATTTGATATCACCCCTATTAGCGAACAGATGAGCAAAATCATCAGTATGTATGCATATGTCTTTTAAAAGAATTGGACAAGATGAGGATAATATCCCGTTTGCGAGTTTCATATTATCTTTCGGAGCAATTAAAGCTCTTGATTAGAATTTAACACGCAGCATCTCCAAACATGGAAATTCCTCCACATAATAACTGCAGGATATTATTTTTTATGTTATTTTTTCTCGGTGGTAGAAAAAGCTCTTGTGAGTCGCTTGGTGGTGGAGAAAAGCAGAAGCAGGCACTTGAATATTCCGTTGCCAAGCTGCTGCTTCTGAAGAGATGGAAATGCCTTTTCACAGCGTGTTTTGCGTGTTGCCGCCTCTATTCTGTTGCGTTTCCTCATTTTCCACGCAGGGTGAATTAATGTGCGGCTGGGGGACGAGAGACTCATCATTTGCGTCTTAATTTTTTTCTTCCGCCACCAAAGCTTTTTTCACACCAGCAGCTTTTCTTTGGGAAGAGCAGATTAAATTTTAATTGCATCCCAGCCACACTTTTTTTCTGTCATGAAATATATTTTTGCTTCAACGCATTTTGCCATCAATATTTCCAAGCAAAAGCTCTTCTATTCAACAGAAGATTAATTTTACGTCCGCAGCCTAATTCAGACCTCTCTGCTAATTTAAATTTAATATCACATATATTTCGCTTTTTGTTTCTTCTTTATAGTCCGTTGAATTAAACTGAATTTATATTTTGGTTTGAAATCGGGAGGAGACCAGCAAGAGAGGAAAGGATTGGGGTTTTGGCAGACGACATTTCGCACAAAGAACCACAACAATGACTGCACCATGTGTGTTGGACGGGCTTCTCACTTGGGCTGAACACACTGCATGCATTTTTCATCAGCCATTCAACGTTTTTTTCACATTCACACGGCCATCCCTTGATTCGCACAATTTTCCGTACGCAGTAAAAAGAGTTCATAGTTAAATAAAATTTTAAAAAATCAGTATGAAATGCCAGCTATAATATATTGAAACTAAAATATAATTTTATATGAAGTCAAAATATTTAAAAGTGTTGAATAAAGCGGTGGTTGACTTTTCAACAGAGCAACAGGATTCGCCGACCGTGATTATTTTCACGCGACATCAAGTGCATTTTTCAATTTAAAAACTCGGCAGTTTATCAGCGAGTGCAATAATGGGAGAGTGAAAAGCACTAAAATCAATTTGGCTTGCGCGTCACAAAAGCGGCCATTAGTATTTTTCCGCGAGCAGCTCTTATGCCAGTGGCTATGAATCGACTGGTGAGAATTTATTATTTTCGTGTTTGAATAAAAATTTAGTTTCAAAACTATGTTTATTAACACACATTCTGGTTCTCTGCTTTGCTTGCTAATTTTATAATGGCGATGAAAATGGCATCAAATCTGAAAGTTTTGACGCTACCTTAGAAAAATCGATGGAAACAAGAATAAATACAAACGGGCAATTTTTCTGTGTACTGATGATGAAAGAGAGACTTTTAAACAAACTCTCTCGCATTGCTTGCGTTTGAGGAAAGGAGCGGAGAAGTTTTTCTGTCGCATCAATTTGGTAATTCTGCTTGCTTTATAATTTCGCTTTTCTCCTTTCATGAATAAATTAACGATCTTTTTCCTACAAACAAGATTGTACTTAGGGTGTATAAATATGCTTGTAAAGTAAATACAAATTTCTTTTTTGTTTCACACCAGTTGAAACGTGGAAGGAAATGTTTCAAGCAAAACCAGCCGGCTGTAGACACTAGATTTTTTTCCATCACATGCCTTGTTAAATTTATTCTGGTTGGCACAAAAAACCACGCCAGCGCTTTTGAATATGCGAAAGTGGATTTTTAAGCTGACGGGATACCCAAGACTAGGTTTTGATCGAGTTTGAAATGTTTCATTTAATCAATTTACCTGGCGCTCTACGTTTCACGAGGAATAACTCAAAGGGCCTGATATAATGTTGACTCAAAAAGTAGTGGAGCTTGAGAAATTACGTCAATTTAATATTTATAAGCGAAAATTTTGACTGTTAATTGAGGAGATTCGTCAAACGCTAAATAGAACATTAACCTCCTGGTACCATGTTTAAATTGGAATTTGGCTTAAAATTTGATTTTTGTAATTTTCCCAAGACTTGAATATTTTGGTCTAATAATTTGGCAATTTGTTGTGTTGCAGGAGGTTTGGCGGTGAAGGAGGCGCGGCTGGTGACACGCCCGGGCGGCGGCGTGGTGCGTCGCGGCAGCGCCGTCACGCTGGTGTGCGAGTACGACCTGGAGGGCGCGCCGCTCTACTCGGTCAAGTGGTACCGCGGCACCCGCGAGTTTTTCCGCCACACGCCCGTCGACAGCCCCTCCACCAAGCTCTTCCCCTTCCACGGCCTCCACGTTGACGTGAGTACCATGAACTTTGACACATATGATCGATAACCACCCTTGGCTGGGGTCAGAATCAAAATTGAAACTGCATCTTGATTTGACGCCTTATATCAATCCAGAAAAATTACATCGGCAGATAAATCATAATTTGCACGAGATACGAGATATTATAAATGAAAATTCACTTGTTGTTTTATATTTATCCACAGTTTTAAAAAAATGAATGATTATTGAACCAATAAAGGTAATAATGATAAAAAAAATAGCTCAAGCTGTGCCATCTGAACCTCCAACTAAGGGCACATGCTGATTTATCTTAGCCTGACTCTTAAAAAAAACATTTTTTTTTGCAGATAAACTGGACTGGAAGTTTGTTTTGCATTTGAAAGTTGACTCTTTCTCGGTCCTTTGAGCGCGCGATGTTTATTTTACAACCCTCTGAGTTTTTTGATCTGTGCGAGTCTCAAAGCAACCCTTTCATCCACTCACCACTTTCTTCTGTGCCTGTGTAAAATGAGAAACGCAGAAGCTTTTAACCAAAAACAACGACGTTGATGGATTCTTATAATATAATAGTACTTGACACTCTAATGAAGTAATCGATCCCCTTTCTATCTCAGCGTTGAAGTAAGGTGTTGGGCTTAATGCATTATTCACTTTTTTCTCAATGTGAATTTGTGTGGTGAACAGAATTTTATTAGAACTAAATATTTCAAAGAAGAAAAGACAAACAATAGGTAGAAATTAAAATTAACTTAACAATAAATGAAGGCACTTTTCAACTAAATAAAGGCTTTAGTTTAAAAATCAGGCAAAAGGAGATCAGATTGTAATTTGCGTTTCTTGTCACTGTCTATTACAACTGTCGCCCATTTTTAAACTTCAAAGGCTTCTTTTCCTTTTGACTGGCACGATGTTTGTTTATATTGCGTTTGATCCGCGGTGGCAGTTGGGCAATTTCATTTTATATCGCGTTTGAGTTCTAAACAGAACCACAGCATGTGTGTCCAGCTGTCCATTATGCCCTTGGGGCCGCCGATTTGCAACACCTCTGAATTCAGTTTATCTGGACTCGTACGGTTTTGTTTGCTAGTTACACAAATTCAAGTTTTATTTTCCACCGGAATTTTTTTAGACGTCCTCTTCTGCGGAAAATGATAAAATAGAAAGGGATGAAAATGGTTTAGCAGGCTACAATGGTTGCATCATAAATTTGACGCCGCAAAAATGAGATACGCTGCTTTTATTTTCAGGGTGCTGATGCGCTTTTTATGAAACCACGCCCTGTAATTAATTCCAATAGTAAAACTCGCTCGCAGCAGTGGGGCAACAAGAATGTCGTCGCCACACGCCAAAAGCACAACATGAAATTTATCACATGCGAAATAAAATTACAGTAGCCAGGTGCATTTTACTACATATTTTTACGTTTCTTTTATTAATTCTGAAAATACAAACCTTGAAAAGTGTAAGATTTTTTTTCAAATTTAAAAAACTTTTGATAATGTGACATACGTGAAACGTTAATCTTAGTTGTAGAATAACAATACAGTTATAAATTTTATCCTTCTCTACGACAAAAGACGATAGTATACAAAATATAAGAATATTTTATAACTGCAGATGGAATAAATTTGCACATTCCGGCACATTTATATTTTCAAGCTCAAATGCGTTAAATTTATAAACGTCGAAATCCAAATTTTTCCTTGAAATTGATTGATTTATTTATTCTCAATTCAGATACAATGAAATCACATACACAACATCTTACATCAAGTCAAATAAAATATTGTGACAGAAATAAAATGTATTTTATTTGTTTGCAGAATGCTGAGTCTGACGGCAACAAAGTGCGACTGGTGGACGTGGGATTCAATCTGTCCGGCAACTACAGCTGCGAGGTGTCCGCCGACGCGCCCTCCTTCAGCACGGCCTTCGTCTCGCAATACATCACCGTCGTCGGTGAGAAACACTTTTTGATAATCTCTTTACTCAAATATTTCTTTGTATGCTATTTAAAATTAAAATAGGTTTTGCAGCTTAATTGTCTGTTTAAAAAATTTGTATTATTTCACTCTTCTAATAAAAAAAAATCAAGATTAATGAAATATTGTGACTCCTTCTTTTTAAAAGTATAAGGCGGTTAAAAAATTAATTATTCTCTTTTTAATACTTCAAAAAACGACCCATAGTTTGTTTTTCTTGCTCTATAAGATATAAGCTAACCCTTTGATTTTATAGCCCTGCCTGAAAAGAGACCTTTGCTGACTGCCGAGCGACCTGACTACGAAGTGGGTGACCTCCTCAGGGCTAACTGCAGCTCGGGCCCTTCCAGACCGCCCGCCAATCTCACGTTCTATGTCAATGATATGCCTGTGAGTACCAATAATAATTGTTTACCTTCTGATCACACGCTGCAAATTTGAATTAAATTATTTCTAGTCTAAATGTCAATTTTGAGTATTGAATAATTTGTTATTAATTAAAATCACTTAAAATTTTGAAAAAAAGAAGACATTATATTTTGAATTTACGGCGGTACTAATAATTTTAAAACAATAGGCAAATTTAATGTTGTTCAAAAGGAATCTAAAATTTAGCAAAGAACGTTTTTGTAATAAATTGAAAAAGAAACGTTAGCAATATGACAAGGATAATAATCATTTTTGACTACTCTTGCACCGTCCATGGCAAAAACTTCTGGGATATAACCTGGAGTGAACTGTTATGTCGTTTTTTTATTCCAATGTATTTTTACAGGGGAAATAAATCTAATTGAATAATCCGCGCACGCCAGCATGCAATAAAATTCAAATCCACCTTTTCTTAAACAGAATGCAAATAAGAAATAAGTGCATGCAACTCACTGGATAAAGAGGAAAATGTAACTTTTTTGCTTTCCAAGAAAATCCAATTTATTCCTTCTCCGTTAATCCCCATTCAATGGCACAGAAAAATACTACATTCATAGTGCAGCTTGAAAATTCCAGGTGCTACACATTCCTTATTGATTGCCTGTTTTGTTGCAGCGAAATAAAGTCAGAACTCGTCTGTGGCTGATTTAATAACATATTTTGCCTTGATTCCAGTCAAGTTAACGGCTTGCAATGCTATAATCTGTTTTTTTTTCTTTTTTTAATGTTTTAAAATTCACAAAAATATGAGTTTTATATCTATTATCTATTGATTTTTATCTCCTCCATTCATAATTTAAAAAAATTTGATATTAACGCGTTGCCTTTTTAAATATTGTGTACGTTTTGGTGGCCAGTGTGGTCGAACAAAAAGGTTTCCGCGTGGCCGATTCCTCTTGCGTTGAGAGTGGGGCCTTGTGCGTGCCCTGGGATCAAAGACCTTTTCCAGCAATTAACGCCCACTGAGATCAAAGGGAATTCTTCCTGTGAGAAAAAGCGAACATTTCTCTGTAATTCCGATTGCTCTTCTGGCTGAAAACAGCCTCATAAAATGTGCAATCACAAGTCTGCGAATTTTTAACAAGCAGCTTTAATTAAACTGAATTTTTTATCGGACAACAAGTGTGGCCGGATTGGCGACCTGGGAGTCGTGGAAATTCGAAACGACACCATTTCCATTTTTTGCGTGCAGTCGCCAAACCCATCCTCCATTCTCTTAATTTTTGTCGTGTCTCTCCCGCTTTTCCAGCGGAAAAGGAGAACAGCGGAGTTTTGCACAAAAGAGAGAAGCGACAGATTTTATCGCTCGCAACTTTTGAGCGGCCAGGGAATGAAGAGACTTTTAGTTGAAACGGCTCGCTTGAAAATCTTCTCTTGAATTTGTGAAAATATTAAAATGAAAAAGGGAGCGTTTTTGAAAATGAAAAATATTTGATAATGCTCTTTTTGGTGTTTATATGGAAAAAAACTTATTTTTGTTCTCATTTGCAGCTTTAGAAAATTTTACCGGTTTGATAAAAAAAAAAAATGAATCATTAAAATCTTTTAATCAATGCAATTGTAAATCTTTACATGCTGCAATTAATTTGAGTGAATTGAGTGAAAAAACTTTTGTTGTGAGCTATTTGTATGCTCAAATCGATTTCAGTGGCTGCGACTATAGAGCAGTCGGTTCTTGTGTTGGAGAGAAGCTTGAAATGGATTTTGTTGCCGTGAATTAGACACGCATTTTTAATGCTACGCCCCATTTTCCTGCACACCACCGACCGGACATTTTGCGAGATCCTTTAATGGATGCTGCGCGAAATGATGTTTGCATGTTAATGTGCCTCGCCAGCTGAAAAATGGAACCTTCAGAGTCGAAATCGCGCTCGCGAGGGGAGTAAATTTCAATTTGCAACTCAGAGCTGGACGAACGAAATGCATCCGAGATATATAGAATGAATTATTCATTTCTCAGTATTTCTAAGTCTTCAAAAATTTTACAACCTTCTAGGCCTCTAAATAATAAAGCAAAAAGCATTTTCAAAAGTTTTTTTTTTTAATTTTAAGGGGATTAAATATTCAGAAGGTAATTTCCAATACAAGCTAAGTACATAATTTATTATTGGTTTCAATAAAAGTGAGGACGGATTAAACACGTGTGTTTTTTCCCTTGGCAAAATCACAGACGGCCGAGAAAAGCCATTAGCAGGATGAGAAGCGACAAACGATTAATCAAAAGAAAGTTCAAGCCATTCATCATGTGACTGGCGAGGACAATCAAATGACCAGCAGAAATTCCTAGAGGGAAAATTGAAAATAACGTCCTTTACTTTCTGCAGTAGAAACTTGCACACCTGCTTTTTAATTCAAACAAATGGTCTCTATTCGTCTCTGATTCATTTAAGTAACATTATTTTTATTTTTAAGCTGCAACAGACCAAAGAGCCTGAGAAAATTCTAGAGAGTGAAAAATTTTAACCATTTTTTTGCAACAGCAACGTGGGAAATTATTTACTGTAATATCCTCAGTAACTGTAACAAAGAAACTTGACCGTCAATGGCGATTTCCTCCATTAAAGTGATGGATTTTGGCCTGATTTTGAAGAAAAAAATGTTTTGATTTTGCTCATCAACCACGTCACATTTTATTCCAACTATTACCATCTCATCATAGTCATCATTCGTCAACAAATGAGATATTCCTGCCCAAAAATGAAAAAGTTAAAGTCTAGAAATGCGTGCACAGTCCATTGAAGACCAAAGAGCGTGATGGATCCACTTTTTAATTCTTTCGAGTGGTTTTTCCGCCTCGACATTAGCATTAATTTGAATTCAGGCGAAATGAGAGTTGAGTTCCGTCGGCCAGTTTTGAATTATGAATCGTCCGCTCCAACGCGCGATTCGAAGGCTCTCTAAAGTATTCCACTTCAACCACCAAAGTTTTCCTCACTTAGTTATTATGCTCTTGACTTTCTTCGCCTCTTGCTCCTGAATGAATTACTGAGATTGTTTTCACTTGAGTCATTTGCATATTTCGTGCCCCAGTACTTTTCTTAAAAGACTAGAAAGCAACCTGAATTTAATGAAGATGAAAATGTGTAAATTGCAATTGAAACAAGCGATTTATTAAAACTTTAAGTATGCAAAGAAAAATATTTTTCATTTTCTTTGCTTCTTCTCAACGTATTGGCAGTTATGAAAAATTCAAAACAAATCGGCTGGAAAAAAACGTGTATTTTGTATGTGTTCGTACTTCACATGCGGAAGCTTTTAAACTAAACACTCCCATTTGTAAACAGGGTGTTCAAATGCGGAAATTTATCGCGTCACACGTGAGGTAGAAACAGAGAAAGGAAAAATTGTGGTTCGCCGCAAATGAACAAGGAGAAAGAAAGTGCTTTCGCAGGCTGCAATAAAAATAAGACCAAATTTGCATGTAAATTGTGAAACTCTTTTTGTTCTCTCCTGGGGTGTGTGAGAGGTTTTTCTCAAGAGGAAGAGACGTAGAGGGAACTCTGAGGCTTTAATTGTAAAAGTAAATGAAAGCGTAAAAAGTCACAACCGATTTTTTTTTTAAATTTCATTTTGAGATGCACTATTTTGAGACTTGCATGTAATAATTTGAATATTTGAAAATTTTGATGGATAATTTAACATCTAAAAATTGGCGGGATTACATCTCTGGAAATCCGTACAAATTGTAATAAATGCTAAGTTACGGAACCTAGATAAAATCATAGTAAAAAGAAATATATATTTTCTTCAATCTCTGTCAAGACAGCTGGCTTTTTGCGAATCAGCAATCTCTTGGCTGAGATGGTTTTAGGTATGAATTAAAACCGTAGGATTTGCACGTGATATGAGAGCAATAATTCAGAAGCGAGTCTAAATTAAACCGGATGGAAAAGTGACACTTTCTCATATCGCGCGCGGCTGACAGGTAAATCACTCTTGAAAGTTTGAATCTGTGCTGCAAGAAAAATGGTCGCGACTTTTGGGTCTGATCCTTTGCTTAAAGAAAGTGAAGAGGAGTCGTTTCGCACACAAGTAGACCCCTTTTCTCTGCTGCTGCTCTCCAAAATGTGTGGATTGGAAACGAAATCAAGATAGGCTAACAGAACTCGCAAAATATGCGTAAAAATTTTAAAATAGTTAATCACCAAGATATATTTTAACATTTTAGACGCATTTTTAATAAACATTAAAACCGGCACATAAATCTTCAATATTTAGATTTCAAAAGCTTGGAAAGAAATTTTTTTATATATTAATATTTTTTATATTATATATTATTTTAATAATAATATGTATTTTTAAATTGTAAAATTCAGACATATTTTCATAGCCTCGCATATCAATCACAATTATAATTCACAGCTCACATACCGTTTTATTGATTTCCTCTCCTACCCACAAAGTCAATCTCAAATTTCCGCCCCATCAAAAGCGTCTTGATAGAATTTCAAATTGAATACCGTACATTTGCAAAGTTTCGCGCCCAAACACGAGAGTTGAGCAGCGTTGACATAAACTTATTTCATGTTGACAAATAGAAGACGGAAAATAAACCAACAGGAGCAGGAAAGCCAGTTTCCTTTTCTACCGATTTAATTGCGACGAGGCCAATTTACTTTCGCCAAATTGAATAAAAATGCAAATAAGAGCGGAGGCTGCTGCGGGTGATTAGTCGGCGCCGTTTAATTGATTGCGGCCGAATGGGAATTGAATTGCGCGGCCAACCAACCAGAGAGAAAAGCGTGTCGTGCAAACAAGAAATAAAGGTCGGCGGAAAAATGGAATTATTTTGTTCCTCTCCGTTTTGCTGAACGCGCGCTTCTCTAGTTAATCTAATTACGAGAGACCAAATTTACTGCGGCGTCTGCGACGAATCAAACTGCTTTTTGTCATCATCTGTCCTTTTACTTCCTTCTTTGGTCTTCGCTCGTCCGAGATGATTAGCAAAAAGCTTCTTTGAAGAACAAAAAGATGATAAGGTTGCGTCTGCAGAATTTTTTCGACTTGAAAGGGACAAAATATGCATAAAGAAAACTGCCCTTTTATGATGATTAGAGAAGCTCTAAAAACTGTTGCTCAATTCCAGCATTGGACTGAATAATTAAAAAGAATTAAAAATTTCTACATTTCGCCTCATTTCAATTATATTCAGTGTATTTATTTTGTGTGCGTGTCTTTGATTGCAGGTGGGTGAAGAGGGTGTGCGTCGGTGGGAGTCGCGGGTGTCAACGGACGGGACGGAGGCATCGCAGGCGAGCCTCGAGCTCAAGCTGCGGCCGTTCCACTTCACCGCGCTCAGCCGCGTCGTCGTCCGCTGCGACGCCACCGTCCTCGGCGTCTACGCGGACACGGCCAAGGTCGTCGTCAGGTCGCGCATCGACGTGCCGCCCTTCGCCAGGGACACGCCGGTCAGCAGCGCCGCTGGCATCGAACCAAAACCTGAAAGAGGTATGTCGCAATTTAGGGCAGAGAATAATATTTATTATTTATTTAAATGATTTTAATCTTTAAATATTGACAATTAATTCAATTTTTTTCAAGAATTTACATGAATTTTTATTTTGTGATTATATAATTTAATTATTTGAATCTCTGAACATTGTTTTTATCATTATAAAAGAGGAAAGATTCATAGATATTTGTGATTCTTTTGCCTTTTGATTTAAAAATGGTACAATTTTATACCTTTTATTTTTATACCATCAAACATCGGAACAAAAATCCCAGTTTTATATTATATAAATATCTGCGTAATTGAATATTCGTAAATATTTATTACGATACTCCAGTTTGATATTTTTTTCCTTTTTTTCTAATTCAATTTGCATTTTGCAACACGCGAAGAATTTTAGGTCACTTCGCACTCTAATTTTCTCTCGCTCGTAAAAGAGGCGTCGGTTGGCAGGCTTTAAATTTGGCAGTCTTGTTACACTCGACGACTGCTCCAACCATAACCGTAAAAGTAAATCGCCATCAAGTGCACTGCGCTCTAAACAGGACATGTTTCACCTCCTAAGAGCAATTCAGAAACGCAGAAAACCTAGGCCATCAATTTTTACAAGGAGCTGATCAGGTCTCGTCACACACAACTTGTAGTGGAGAAAATTGTGCAGAGCGAAGCAGATTATACGCGTCCGCTCATCTCTAGATTGGACCTGCAGATCAAATTACACGCCGGTCCTTTATTTAACGACGTCTTAGCACGAATTCAATTTCGGATCAGAGACACAAAGATTGCTGACAAATCATGTCTCGCCCAGTTGGCAATCAACGCCGTCTGCTCCTTTTCCCAACCATTCCGTCGTCTGGTTCATTTTTATTAATATTATTATTATTTTACAGAAAAAAATTCACATTGCTTCCATATTCTTTATTAAATTTGTGAATTATTGGTTTTTCATTCCGAAAATAGCATGAGATTGACAAATATCCGTTTTTGCTTCTGTTGCAGTGACTTTGCCAAACCGGACAGGCTCTTTCTTGGTGAGCGGGTCTTCGTGGAGGACATGTCTGGTCCTGTCGGTGGCGTCCCTTCTGGTCATGTGCAGCTAGTCAGTCACTATCCAACTAATTATCACTTTCGCCGACTGCAGATAAAGAAAAAGAAGCGAGTGTAATTGACTCTGTTGTGAGAGTGACCGTTTTAGAATTTCCTTCTTTTTGTATAAAAAAAATAATGCCTCTTTTTGAGTGAAAGCAGCATTTGCTTGTGTGTGCCAATATTTAAAAAAAATATGGATTTAAGATGTTTCCCATGTTATATCATAAGGTGTAAATCGAGAAATTAGGTGGCTAAAATTTTCACCTCCATTGAAAAATTAAGAGAAATCTGCGCAAAATATTCATCATTATTTTTAAGCCTAATAAAGTCGATGGACATGATTCACATGATTTATTAAAATATAAATGTTAGACAATGTGAGAAAAACTAGCAAACTGTGTGTTGCGTAGTATCTGAAGAGTGAAAACAAAGAGCTGAAATCTCATTCATCTCATCAAATTCAGCTAGTACCTAAAAAAAAAACTATCTGCCAAGAAAATAATCTGGAAAAATGTATTTGAAATTAACTTGTTGTATACTTTCATTATTCACAGAAATCAGAAGGTAGTAATTTGGAATTTTGAATAAATTTCGCCAGAAAAGATTAAATTCTCCAGCTTCGCCATAATAATTCAGTCTCTAATTTGATGTACAAATATTCCAATAAATCATGTTCTCATTTTCTCAAGAAATGATTTTTAATATAAGTGTTAAATGAATATATGAAATGTGTGTTTCTGCTGATAATTCTCCCCAGAGGAAAAAAATTTCAGCTGGATAAGAAACATGATTTAATAATAGTTGTTTCATTATTTTAAGAGCAGCCAATTCCAATAATTGAAAGTTAAAAAATCACAAACTAAAACCTTTTTGATAGAACAAAATTTGCTTTTCCTTAATAAAATAAGAGACAATATTAAAAGATGAGCTCCCTACTTTTGTATTGATTTCTATATGTGTACGTTAAGTTTGAGATTATTCCTAAATGGCTTAATAAATGAAAGACCAGAAAAAACAAATATTGTTGAAATGTTATTTCTATTTCTCTCTTTCCTTGATGCGCAAAAATAATAATAAAATTAATTAAATCCTCAATCGGCAGCAGGAATTCAATTTAATTTGTTTGATAACACATTTAATTTGTCCTCTTATTTGCTTATTTTTCAATTTTTATCAAAATTTCTAAAATATTTTTTTTTATTAACAACTAGAAACATATTTTGAGTTGATCCGCCTGAATTTGGGTGTTTTCGGGGCAGTAACAAATTCATTCGGCCGCAACGCAATAAATTCGCGTTTGGATTGGTGGTTGGCCGCAATGTATTCGCAGAGCGAAATTCCTCGGCTGGCGCGCAACACTTTCTTGTGGAATTCTGCTCAGACCACCCATTCTTCTTTGAGCAGCGTCTTGCCAGCAAACAACAAAGTTCTACAAGCGAGCATTCTGCCGCAACATTTAATGATAAAATTCCTTCTGTTCACAGCTTCCGCCCCTATTAGTCTTCAATAGTCGCCTTGCTCGGCACAACTGTGCTGCGTGTTTTATTAAAAATGCCAAAGACACACCCTGTGTCCTGTAACACGAATGCGATTTGTACCTGCTGCAAAAAGAGAAACGTGTGCGTCCCTCCCAAAGAATCACCAGGGGATTTCATTTTTATTCCGAGCCAAACGAAATTTTTCCTCTCACCGCCAGACGTGCCAAAACTTCTGACGATCGCAATTTCGCTCTCTCTGGTCGAGTGAGTGTTGTGCGATCTGGAAATACTCACTTCAGCCAACCTGCACACACTCTTTCACAAGTATAGGCACCAAAATATAATAATATTTTACTGCTTAAATATTATGTAATAACAAAAATGAATTTGCAAGTTTAAAAAAAAAACATATCTTGTAAAAAAAAGTAATAGATCTTATTGAAAAGTATTAAAAAAAAAAATTAAAACTTTTTATTTTTCAAAATTTGTGATTGAAATTTAAAATAATGGTAATATATTTTATTTTATACATAAGTGCGCATACTTACATTTGAGGGTCACTTTATAATGTAAATTTATGATAAATCAATAAATAAATAAAACATCAATACTTTCCGATGCTGGCTAATACACTCTTCTCTAAATTAGTGTCAGTGAACTGCGGACATAATCGAATATTGAAAATTATGTCTCCCTGAGCAAAATGATTTTGACACGTATTGGCCGTGACACATGTCGCGCGGCGAGCCGTCAAATTTTGGCCGCGGTTGACAGCAGCCGTCACCATCCAGCGATCGACCCGCAATATAATCCGCAGCTATTTTCAACCCTTTTACCCATCGACAGTTGTGCAAAAGCCAAATTACTCCATGGCCAACGAGGAGAGCAAAATTTCTAGTAAAAAAGAAAAAAACTATTGAGAATGGAGGGTTGTTTAAAGCGTTGAGAGAAAGATAAAAAGGAAAAACGGCAGGCGAATTTATAGGAAGTAAAAAAATGACGAATTTCTTTTATAGTTATTATTCAACTCATTCAACCCATTTTGCATTCAATTTTTTTATTCTGCTTCTTTATTGAAAATGGTTAATCGTTAAAAGTAGATTTTTAAAACAAAAATTATATATTTCAATTATTTTAACAAGAGAAATTACTAATACCAACAAAAAATATACAAACTGAAACATTTCAAAAAAATTATTGAAATGCTAATGCAACATAATTCTATCTTTGAATTAATTAAAGAATAATTTTAAACCATTTGATGCTTTAAAAATCTTAGTTATAGAAATGTATTTATTATAGTTTAGTTTTAAATTCACAGGGCAAGCATTTATATAATTCACTTTAATTTACAAATAAACTAATTACTGCTAGAACTTGAGTATGCATTTGTTTTAAGGGAAAATGAGAAAAATTAACTCTATTCATTATAATTTCATAACACAGTTTATTGCCAATGACATGACAGGTCGATTTGTATTGTATTTTATTTCGGTTACAAAGCACAATTAAGTTTAAGTACTTTCGCACTCTTTTTGTATTAGATTTTTTTTGCTGATGTTCCTGAGGTCACTTTCATACATTTCTCTTTACAAACAAAAAGTTTACTTCCACTTTCCTACTTTTTTTTTCTTACATTTAAAACATAATTTCGGTCAAGCTTATACTTTACAACTTGAGACGACATTAACAACACTAAAGAAGATATTCTTAAGAAAGAAAAATTGATTTTAAATACTCCTCACATCACATTTTCATTCCTCTGCATTAAGTTGCATATATCAATAAGAAAAGAAAATGAACAATACAATCATTGCTCGCCTAATACTTTACATGACAAACATTTTATCATAATATTCAATATTCCATTGATCACAACTTCCTTCTTTCTAATATAATTTTAATTTAATATTTTTTCTGTCAAAACAATGTTTAAAAACACGCCGAGAAATTATTTTTTTGTTACGGCCTCCAATACATTTGTTATTCTCAAAATTGTCTAGTAAGTAAATTTTCTCAACATTTAAAAGGACTAGATTGCATTAACATACATAGCGTCACCAAATTAATAATAATTTAATAATCATCAAACTTTTTTAATTAAAATTGCTTTCATGCGAGGAAAATATTGAGCCTGAGATAAAAAGTATTCTGTTGATTTTTTTCCAGTTGAAGGGGGATTTCTGAAATGGTTTAGTGTTGAGAGATTTCTTTTAAACAGTCACTCTCGCGAAAGAGTCAATATTATTCCGCACATGCTTTTCCATTATGCACTTGGCGGATGTGGTGATAGGACCTAATTAAGTGATTTAAGAGGGCAGACTACCTGCACGCGGCCAGAAGGGATGCCACTAACAGCACCAAACTTGACAACAACAAAGACCGGCTCGCCAGCAAAGCAGACCCTGTCCGGTTTGGCGAAGTTACTGCAACACAAATAATGGAAATCACAGGCTAAATTACAAAAACTAATAAAAATTAATCTTAACCCCAAAATTACAGATAAAAATAATGCAAAAGCATCTCATGTTTAATTAATGAGAAGCTAGTAGTGTATTTTGTTATAATAGCTGGACGGTTTTTCAGCTAGTTTTTCATGTAAATTTTAATTTTATATAATTATGGTTGCACACATAAAAAATAATAATAATTAAGATTATTTCAAAGATAAAATAAGTAATGATTATTTAAAGAACTTTTTCGTCAAAAAAAAAAATTAATTACTACAGTAATCAAACTTAACAAAAAAAAAAAAAATGTTAATTTATCATTTCTATTAAATGTTACTGTTACCTCTTTCAGGTTTTGGTTCGATGCCGGCGGCGCTGCTGACCGGCGTGTCCCTGGCGAAGGGCGGCACGTCGATGCGCGACCTGACGACGACCTTGGCCGTGTCCACGTAAACGCCGAGGACGGTGGCGTCGCAGCGGACGATGACGCGGCTGAGCGCGGTGAAGTGGAACGGCCGCAGCTTGAGCTCGAGGCTCGCCTGCGACGCCTCCGTCCCGTCCGGTGACACCTGCGACCCCCATCGACGCACACCATCTTCACCCACCTGCAATCAAGGACATGCACACAAAATAAATACACTGAATTTAAAATAATTATTTTAATATTTTTTTGTTTTTCCTAAATCATTTAATACAGAATCAAGGAAGAAATTGAGAATTATAATGAAAAGTAAGAAAGTGTGAGATATAAATTTAATTACAGTTTGGTCCTAATTAGAGATAAAATTTTGGAAATTTAATATGCAAAAATATATATATTATTATATTAATAAATTTAAAAGAGAGGAGCGCCAAAGTGAGTCAAATTATAGCTTAATTAAATCCTCTTTGGCCAACCAACACAAAGTGCTCCTCAAAGGATTAGTTTTATGTTATGAGCAAAAGCCAGTTAGCTTCAACACGGCCAATTAATTAAAAGTTCCTCATTTTTGGCCTGGTGTGACGTCATCGAAATCGGCTCTCGCTCCCTCGAGAGGAATTATTATCATTGTGTTGTGCTTGTTAAATAATTAAAATCCAAGCACGTCTCTCTTGTCTGCTCTGGATTTGAAATTCCAGCGTGAATAATTAAAAGACACTCCCAAATGCAAATTGAATTTGAAAAATAAAGCAGGTTGGAAAAGGAGCCTCACTTTAGCGGAAAATCTTCCATGACGAGGAAAAAATTTCTGTTCCTCTATTTACAACTTTTGACAACATTGGAGATTTGGTACAGAGAAATTTTTCATGTTGCCTGTACCTTGACTTCAAGTGGATTTTCATGTCCTTTTATAATGACAATCAGAAATAATGTTGCAAAGCAAAATCTTACAATCTTTTCATTCCTTTTTCTTCAAAGAAGCTTTTTGCTAATCATCTCGGACGAGCGAAGACCAAAGAAGGAAGTAAAAGGACAGATGATGACAAAAAGCAGTTTGATTCGTCGCAGACGCCGCAGTAAATTTGGTCTCTCGTAATTAGATTAACTAGAGAAGCGCGCGTTCAGCAAAACGGAGAGGAACAAAATAATTCCATTTTTCCGCCGACCTTTATTTCTTGTTAGCACGACACGCTTTTCTCTCTGGTTGGTTGGCCGCGCAATTCAATTCCCATTCGGCCGCAATCAATTAAACGGCGCCGACTAATCACCCGCAACAGCCTCCGCTCTTATTTGCATTTTTATTCAATTTGGTGAAAGTAAATTGGCCTCGCCGCTATCAAATCGGCAGAAAAGGAAACATTGGCTTTACTGCTCCATCTGCTCTGTTGGTTTGTCTTCTGCTGGAAAATAAGTTTCCTGTACCGCTGCTCAACTCTCGCGTTTGGGCGCAAAACTTTGCAAATGAGCCGCCGCGTGTCGTACGGAATTCAATTTGAAATTCAATTGAGAAGCTTTTGATGTCGTGGATATTTGAAACTTGGCTCCGCGGGAAGAAAAAGGAAATCAATAAAACACAAAACGTTATGTGAGCTGTGAATTCCAATTGTGATTGAAATATAATTAGGGCGTAGAGCTATGAAAATTTCTCTCAAATTCAATTTAATCAAATAACTTTATATTATATTAATTAATTTATTGATTTCAAAAATTGAATTATAAAAAGTGTATTTGCGACAGTATGGGCGAATAAACAACAACAACGAAAATAATAAAAATTATAATTTTAAATAAAAAATATGAAATTAATATAATTTTTACAAAAAAGTTTATAAATATCTTTTTTTTAATATTAAAGGTAAAAATGTATGTGCGCAAATATTTATTTTGATTTGTGACGACCATATTATTACTGTAAATAAAGAATAATATTATTTTGTATTCATGTAATATATGTTATCCCACTCCTCCTGTATTTCCCCTCAAATCAGAGCAGGCGACACCTCGGTGCCGCACAATAAAAAGAATAGTGTTTGCTTGGCTCGCAGAGCATAAAGTCTGGTTTTTATTTGTTAATTCCTAGAATAGAAATATAGTGATTTTAAAGAAGTCTTTGGGAACCACAACACTCCCGGCGGGCTGTGTCCTTGGACAGGAGGTCTTCAGGGTGAGCCGAAGGCATAGAGGGTGAGGGTCAGTCAATTGAGAATAAAGAATAAAGTGTAAACTAATTTAATAAGTAATGCATTCATAGAATTATTCAAGGCGATAATCGAATAAGCTTTAGTCACCGTGCACTCAACGTGCCGAACCACGGAGGTTGGTTCCTTGACCCGGCACCAGCTATTAAGTAGTTAATAGCTGGGTAATAAGCTGTGCAATTCGCACCCTGGTCCAGTTCCCTAGGCTGGACCCTAAAGGTTGTCGCAGATTGACAATCCGCTAAATGAGTTAAAATATTTATGCGATTTTACGATTTTTGTGTTTTTGCCCAGTAGTCCTGTTTGCGGCTCTTCATTTTGCTTCCATGCCCACATTTTAGAGATCAGCGGCAGAGAAACGGGGTCTCGACGTGTGTGCGAAACGACTCCTCTTCACTTTCTTTTAGCAAAGGATCAGACCCAAAAGTCGCGACCATTTTTCTTGCAGTGCACAGATTCAAACTTTCAAGGGTGATTTACCTGTCAGCCGCGCGCGATATGAGAAAGTGTCGCTTTTCCACCCGGTTTAATTTAGACTCGCTTGCTGAATTATTGCTCTCATAGCCCTTGCAAATCCTACGGTTTTAATTCATACCTAAAACCATCTCAGCCGAGAGATTGAGGATTTGAGGAGCCAAAAAAGCCAGCTGCCCGCGAGCTGGGGTGTGAAAAAAATTTAAATGGGTTTAAATATGCATCACCAAAAGGTAGTACATAATCATAATCATATTCAACAAAAATCCACTCCCCTATTTGTTTTTAATTATTATATAATTCTTTCTTTTTTAACTAATTTTTACATAATTTTAAAAGCTTTGAATATACCAAAGCTTGCATTCAAATAATTTTTATTGATAGTGAGACTTGCATAATTATATTTTTTTCCATTACACAATTTTGGTATTTTACTTAGAATAATCACCCTTCAAACATCATTTAAGTTTTGGGACTGTCTCAAAGGTACCCCATTTCATTTCGCTCCATTAGCCAGGAAAAGATAATATATTATCTTGGTCATATTTCCAAGGCGCGAGATGATGAAGCATGTTGACATTAACACACAAAGAAAAAAGGCTGGCGACGGTTGACAAGCTTTAAGCGATTGTATGCTTTGACCCTGGCCACTTGAGAATAAATCACTCTCACCTCAGGAGAAGAGACGAAAAACGAGTTTCCCAACTTCCTTGCAATTTGCAGCATATTATTTTAATTGTCGCCTGCTATAGTACTTTCTGAATTATTCATTTGCACTTGCTTTGTTAGCTATTTTGAAACGCAATTTTGAACCTCGCACTCTGAACTTTTACTTTTAGGAAATTTTGAATAAAATCAAGCTTACTATTATTCGTGTAAACAGAAGGGAAATGATAATTTTGTGTAGAGTGGTTTTGAAGCGTGAAAATTATTCAGTCTGTTGTGCATAACATGCCAACGCTTTGGAGACGCACTGGGATTAAATTTGCGAGTGGCATGAAGGGTGGCCAACAGCTAATGCCAGTCTCACTTCACTCACTTTGGCTGCACAACATTATAATTTTCAGGGCGCAAATATATATTTCTCTTTGAAAAAAATTGAAAAAAATTATTTACATTAAATATTCTTTTATAAAATAAAAAAAAAATATAATAAATGAAATTTGATAATAGAAAATATCTTCTAGAATTTGCCATTTAAAATTTAGAAATAACACGGTGCAAACAACCAGAGATGATAGATGATTTAAGTATTTACGAAAGCAAAAGTAAACGGAAAGGAAAACTTTGGTGGTTGATGTGGAAGTACATTAAAGAGGCTTTGGAGCGTTGGAGCGCCCGGTTCATAATTCAAAACTGGCTGGTTGGACGCATGGCCGGCAGACCTCACTTTTGTTTCGCCTGAATGCAAATTAACGCAAATGCCGGGGGCGGAAAACCACTCGCAAGAATTAAAAAGTGTATCCATCACGCTCCACGGTATTCAACGTACCGTGAATGCATTTCTAGACCTAACTCTTCATCTGCAACCTCTCCATATTGAGCAGAGACTAAAATTTTCATTTTATTTTGACCAAAATTGTCAATCGATCTAAAAGTTCTATGTGCTGGTTGATGAGAATTATCCAAAATAATTAAAAAAAATATTGCGAAATAAGAAATACGAAAATATAATATTAAACTAGGCTACCTCGAAATTTCTTTTGCGGAACAAATTTCTGTCGCTTGCTCAATTGCTCGCGCCTGCAACAAGGTGAATGGACTGGACCCATTTCTTTTTTGATTAATTGTTTGTCACGCCTCGTCTGGCTAATGGCTTTTCTCGGCAGTCTGAGATTCTGCCAAGGAAAAAGCACCCGTGGAAAATCTCAACTTGCTTTTTCATCAACTCACGTCCCCTTTCTCCAAGATTTGATACATGTTGTAAATAGACATATGATAGGTTTTGGTTCAATTTCGTGAAAAGTCCTTCCGAAAGCGTAATTTTTAAGGTTTTCTTATTTTTTTAAACCGAAAACTCTTTTCCAATTTTTTTGGATATGCGCCTCGTAGTATTTGGGGGGGGGGGGGCTGGAGGTTTCAAAATCAAATTATGAAGACAAGGCCTTACTGCAAATTTGAAATTTTGAGTAATGAATAACTCATTCAATTCCTCGGATGCATTTCGTTCATTCATCTCTGCTCCGAGTTGCAAATTGAAATTTACTCCGCTCTTGAGCGCAATTTCGCCTCTAAAGGTTCCATTTTTCAGCTAGCAAGGCGCATTTATATGCAAACATCATTTCGTTCTGCATCCATTAAAGGCTCTAACAAAAGGTCCGTCCGGTCGGTGGTCAGCGTAGGGAAATAGGGTGCAGCATTAAAAAAAATGCGTGTCTGATTCCGAGGCAAAACAGAATCCGCTTCCCGCTCGCCTTTCTCAGCAGAGGAATCGACCACTCTTATTGCAGAAATAAAATTGAGTCAAAGACAGCATAAATTTATTTACTCTGCGGATAAATGAACTTCTAGCTGTAAAAGGTTGCTAATAGCATATAACAAGAAAAAATTTAAATAATCCAACAAATTGAATTGAATAATCCAACAAATAAAATGCAATTTTAACAAAATCTATTGTATATGGTATGGGAATCTATAATGAAATCAATTTAACCTGATGTTCTAAATGTAGATATAATCAGCATGTAACAAAAATAGCGATTCAAATATTTTTAGGCCATGATAAATATTCTCTTTCAAACGCTTTAGAATTTCACAAATTCAAGAGAGGATTTTCAAGCGAGAGCCGTTTTATAACTAAAGGTCTCTCCATTCCTTTGGCCGCTTCAATTCAAAAGTTGCGAGCGATAAAATCTTTTGCACCCTTTTTTGTGCAAAACTCCGCTGTTCTCCTTTTCCGCTGGAAAAGCGGGAGAGACACGACAAAAATTAAGAGAATGGAGGATGGGTTTGGCGACTGCACGCAAAAAATGGAAATGGTGTCGTTTCGAATTTCCACGACTCCCAGGTCGCCAATCCGGCCACACTTGTTGTCCGATAAAAAATTCAGTTTAATTAAAGCTGCTTGTTAAAAATTCGCAGACTTGTGATTGCACATTTTATGAGGCTGTTTTCAGCCAGAAGAGCAATCGGAATTACAGAGAAATGTTCGCTTTTTCTCACAGGAAGAATTCCCTTTGATCTCAGTGGGCGTTAATTGCTGGAAAAGGTCTTTGATCCCAGGGCACGCACAAGGCCCCTCTCTCAACGCAAGAGGAATTGGCCACGTGGAAACCTTTTTGTTCAACCAAAACCAACGCATTTATCACAAATTTCCAAAATTCGCGCACAGATCATTTAAGAAAATAAAAACCATCCATAAATATTAATAACTTCTTTGGAATTTGACCCTTAAAATAATAAAATTTAAAAACAAATCAGCATGGAAATTCATTATTTTATGATTCCACCACGAATTTTTATTCTGCAGCACAGGCAAAAATGTTGGCTCATCATTATAAGACCAATTAATTCCAAAATACAAATCAATGCGGAATCTGTTGCATGTGGAATTTTCAAGCTGCACTAACAATAAGTTTGCAGTTTTTACTGCCGTGCCTTGGAATGGGGATAAGACGATGAAATAAATTGGATTTTCTAGAGAAGCACAAAAAAGTCACATTTTTCACTTTATCCAGTGCATTGCATGCACTTATTTCTGATTTGCATTCTGTTCAAGAAAAGGTGGATTTGAATTTTATTGCATGCTGCCGTGCTCGGATTATTCAATTAGATTTCTTTCACCCGTAAAAACGCTTCAAAGTAAAAAAAGACACACTTTCTATAATACTATTATGGATAATAGATCCAGAAAGACTTTTTCTGAACATAGTGTAACTTTTAATCGGACAGTTAACACCTAATATTGTGTTTTTAAATTTAATTTTCTTTTTACATTGTTGTTGAATGTGTCAAATCTCAGTTATCATAAAATAATGTCAAGCTGATGAATTTTTTTCCAAATTTCAAGAGATGTTGTTAGCTTAAATTTAGAGAAATTTTGTTAGGTAGATACATTCATTTATTTTTTTTAAATAAGCAGACCTTTTCATTTATTTAAGAATGATTGAATAGTATTCAAACTAAAATTTAAAATTTTTGGAAGAAAAAATAACCAGATTTTACTAGTTTATGAAAGGAAAAAATTGGTACTCACAGGCATATCATTGATGTAGAAAGTGAGATTGGCGGGCGGTCTGGAAGGGCCTGAGCTGCAGTTGGCCCTGAGAAGGTCGCCCACTTCGTAGTCAGGTCGCTCAGCAGTCAGCAAAGGTCTTTTCTCCGGTAGGGCTAAAATCAAAGGAGGGAAGTTTTGATAATCACTCACAATCAGAGCAGAGAAAACAATTTAAAGCATTGGGAAATTTTAAAGGAAGGAAAATGGGATGTGTCCACACACTGATCTAATTTTAAAAGAGCGAGTCATTGATTCCTAAGTGCTTCTGAGAAAAATTGAATTTATAGAAGAGTGAGAAAGTTGAATTTAATACTTGTGAAATTTTAAAGCGCAGGAAAAAATTGTCTGTAATTGAACTTCAAATTTTAATGTAAATATTGATGAGACAATTCTAAACATAGAATCGAGAAAAAATATGGTTTAATTATGCTCAAAAATTTATTATTACTCACCAACGACGGTGATGTATTGCGAGACAAAGGCCGTGCTGAAGGAGGGCGCGTCGGCGGACACCTCACAGCTGTAGTTGCCGGACAGGTTGAATCCTATGTCCACCAGTCGCACTTTGTTCCCGTCAGACTCTGCATTCTGCAAACAAATAAAATACTGAATTTTGCGGCAATCGCAATAATAAAATTTGAATTTGTTGGATATTGAAATAAATCAATTGATATAAATTGTGTTCAAAAATTAATTATATTTGTAAATACCAATTGCAAATTTACTTTCTTACATTTCGTTAAGGAATAATTATCATGTCATCTTTTTTATTCGCATACTATACTTTAGATATTGAAATTTATTGAAATTAAAATGAATTAGATAATATATTGATAATGTGTGGTATAAAAACCGATGTTAAAATCAAATTTGTTGATTGTGATTAGGGAATTTATCATTTGCCAGTGTTAAGAATTATAACAGAAAGAAAATTTTTCCTAATAAAATTGCGTTTAAAAAATCTTATCAAGTGCGTCTGGGTCATGGAACTTAAATCCTCTTTGTGATAAATTTTGCGTTTTTAGTGTGCGGCGGCGACTCAGTTGTGGCGAGTTTTACTATCCCGATGGCAGGGTGTGGTTTCATAAAAAGCGCATCAGCACCCCAAAAATAAAAGTAGCGTCTCTCTTGTTTGCGGCCTCAAATTTATGACGCGTCCCTCGTAAATCACACCCAAAAGTATTTTTGTCGCTTTTTTAATCATTCCATTTTTTACGAAAAAAGTACGATTGAAAAAATCCGAAATACAATTTGAATCTGTGCAAATATCAAACGTGCAACTAGATAGAAAATGCATTCATAGAGATGTTAGAAATCCGCAGTCCCAAGGGCATAATGGACAGCTGGACCCACATGCTGTGCTTCTGTTTACAATTAAAACGCAACACTATGAAATTGCCCAACTGCTGCCGCGGATCAAACGCAATATAAATAAACACTGACAATCAAAATGGCAGTAGTGGTATGTGAAGGCTTGAGTCCCCTTTTTAATTGCTTTGACCTTTGACCCCAGCTTGACCTTGACCACCCTGACCTACCCCACCCTGACCTACCCCACCCTGACCCTGACCTACCCCACTATGATCTTGACCTACCATGCCCTGACCTTGATAATTGACCTTGATTGCATAATGATTCACGCATCAAATTTATTATTTCGCAATAACTAATTACCCCCGCCACTTTACTGGCATTGCAAAATTGAAATTAACCCATTTCATGCAATCACCAGTGTCGTGACGTAACTTTCCCTTTGAGAGAGTCAAATGCTGACCTAATTTCGAAAGATGATCATCAAATTTTAGTTTCGCAATAACTAATTACCCCCGCCACTTCAGTGGCATTGCACAATTGAAATTAACCCATATCATGCAGTCACCAGTGACGTCACATCGTGACGTAACTTTCCCTTCGGCGACAGAGTCGACTCCTTCCTGACCTACTTTCGAAATGTGCTCATCAATTTTCTCCGTGAGAGATGGAGCCAAACCGTCCTATAATAAAAATTGAATTAGCTCGTGCGCAGTGAAAGAGAGAACGGTCAGCAGCACACGTGGCCCGCCGCCGCCGCCGCCCGAGCGAGAGCGAAAGAGCGTCAGCTCTTTCGATCATAAGGTCTTGGTTGATTTAAGGTATAAAAGGATTGTTTTAAACCCGTTTGGAGTCAGTTCACAGATAGCAATGCCTTTTAAATTCAGAGTTCCTTTTGGATTAATGATCTGCGGCCCCTCCCAATCGGGAAAATCGCAGATTGTTTTGAATATCTTACGCAATTTAAATGAAATGACAGATAAAAAAATTGACGAAGTTGTTTATTGCTATTCGATTTATCAAAAAGCATTTGACGAATTTAAAAAAGTTAAAAAAATAAAATTTCACAAAGGAATTATTGATAATTTAGAGGAAAGCCCAAATTGTAAAAGACTTATCATAATTGATGATATGCTTGATTTTGCACAGAAAAATGAAATTGTATCACTTTTGTTTACCAAGTATATCCATCATCACAATATGAGTGTAATATTTATTTCGCAAAATCTTTTTGCAAATGGAAGCAATATTAGAACTACAAGTTTAAATTCAACCTATATGATTCTAACGAACAATGTGCGTGACAGGCAACAAATCCGTACCCTGGGGCTGCAAATGATGCCTGATAAATACAAATTCTTTATGAGTGCCTGTAACCGAGCAATGAGCTGTCCTTATGGGTTCATATTAATTGATTATCATCAAAAAACACATCCTTTATGCCGCCTTGTTTCTAATATTTTTGAAGATTACCCACGTGTTTTTGTTGAAGAGAATATAAATACAGGGGACATGATATCACTTGACACTTACAATGAGCACTTCGCGCATTGAGCACCTCATTGAATTATTGAATTCTGATAATATTAAAGATAAAGTTAGATTTTTCGAACTTGCTTCTCGTAGCGAAATCGACGCCGTCTGTGAAGTTGCTGTTAATTTATTAGCAGGAACCTTTGAAATTGATTCAGGTGAAAAGGAGTGTTTGAGGAAATACCAAAGCTTAATAAGAGATCTAGCATCTAAAGGTTGTTGGGAGAGGAAGAAAAAAACAATAATTAAATACGGTTCTGGATTTTTAACTCATTTTCTTCTTCCTATTGTTACACGTTTGATTGTTGAAGTTTTAAAAAGCCAAATATGAACCAAAGTAAAGACATGTATTTGATTAGTCGGGAACAACTCCAATCACTTCTACCGTCAGACGATAAAAAAATCAAAACTCAATTGGGTAAAATTGCAAAAAGTAAATCAATGTCAAAAAGAGAAAAATTTCAGAATTACAATAATGTTTACCAACGCCATTTGGAGGAAAGTGAAAGAAGAAGAAGACCATTAATTATTACAAAATTTAGCAATGTTGAAAAACCTAGAGAAGCTAATAATGATGATATGTCTGATGATGACTTTCAAAGTACTCATTCTAATGAAAGCCAACAAATTTCAATGGATGATACAAGAACTAATATTTTTGAAATTGTTCCTCAGTCTTATAGGAATAAAGCAATTAATTTGTTTAATGATGTGATTGCTCAATCGAATGAAATTAAGTATGATGATAATTATGTATACATAAATGGGAGACAAATAGGGGAAAGTAGTATTGCTGAATTCTTAAAAGAGTATGTTAGCAAAAAATCTATCAAGAACTTGCCTGGTTTTAAAAATTTTGAGCAGGCCATGGAAAAAGAAACCAATAAAGAACATTACAATTCGAGTCAATCTACATTCAGTGATCAAGAAGGTTACGGAGAAGAACTTACACGTACTTTTGAATTTGAACCGCATTACTCAAGCATAAACGATTATAACTGGATTAATTATCGCTATTAAAAATGAATAGGGATTTAACCAGAGCTTATTTTGATCCTCACAGTTCTACGTCTTTTACCTCAGCAAACCAACTGATTAAAAAGTTTAAAGATCATTACAAACCGGAGGATATTAAAAAATGGCTCCACAAGCAAAAATCGTACACAATGTTTTATCCGAGAAATAAAAAATTTAAAACCAATTACATGTTTGTTCCTCAAAAGAATTACTGGCTTTTTGCGGATTTGGCAGACATGAGTAAAATATCTAGGTTTAACCAGGGTACAAAGTTTTTACTTTGTGTGATTGATGGATTTACAAGGATGGGATATGTTGTCCCGATTAAATCGAAAAAACCAGAGGAAGTTATAAGGGCAACCAAGTTAGTGTTTAAAAGAGCAAAATCACCCGGATTGTATTGGTACACAGATGCTGGAGGCGAGTTTACTGCAAAGATTTACCAGAAATTTATGAAAGAAAATGGCGTAAAATTAATATTTGCTAGGAGCGAGAAAAAAAGTTTTTTGGCGGAAAATTTCATTTTGCATTTGAAAAAACGAATCTATCGTTACATGGCTCACGCGGATACTAAAACTTATATTGATATGCTTGATTCCATTGTTAATGCATACAATAATACAGAGCAAAAGGCAACCAAATTTGCACCAATTAAAATCAAATCAAAGGCAGATCAAAAGCAGGTTTTTATCAACCTCTATAAAAACAAGTTAGAAATGAAAAGAAAAGCCCCTAAATTTAAAATTGGTGATTTCGTAAGACTTTCAATTATTAAACAGACATTTGAAAAAGGATACACTCGTAATTTCAGTGATGAGATTTTCCAAGTTGATAAAATTGTATATAAACGATACATTCCCATGTATGAAGTCAAAGACTCTAAAGGAGTGGTAATTGAAGGATTGATGTACCCCAATGAAATGGTTTTAGTCCTTGAAGATTAAAAAATGTCACAATACGTCTATTTGATAAGTAACACGTGCAAAGAAATTTTTCCCGGTAACAAGGCAAACGATTTCACAGCGTGCCTAGCAAGAAGTTTGGATCTGTCAAGTAATTACACTGTTGCAGCAGTTTCCGTTATTTTACCACCCATTGATGAAAAGGAAACGTCTTCAGTTGCCTATATATATTGCGATATCATCGCGCATTCAATAGTTTCAAACCTTGAGTCACAGTTGCTACTTGTTACCGCTCAGTTGAACAAAACTAATTCCACAAGTGAAAGTATTGAGCAACCGATTTATTTACCATTGAACAACTTTTATCTGAGTAGAATAAAAATAAGTATTAAATCACATACTGGGGAATTAATTAAATTTAAAGGCGATTCTGAGACTGTAATTTGTTTGCATCTAAAGAAAAATGTATAAAAATGAGTATTACGTTAGATACTTTCAGCAAGGTGCTGGTTTTACTAACTATTATGCTGGACCAGCGACAAATAACGGTCTTATGTCGAACGTTCCGACGGTATTGTTCCCGATCACTCCGCTATTTGCGCCGAGTGTCAAAATGCTTAAAAGGGAAATGACAAACGACTTTAGCTATATGCAAAACATGCGCGAAAGAAATCCAATGGAAGAAATGGACTATGAGCGAGAATCAATGTATGAGCGAGAGCCAATGCATGAAAGTATAAATATGCGCGCAAGAGATTTTGGGACTAGAGTTCGTAAGCAGTCTAAAGAGGGAAGAGTTGGTAAAATTCGTCCTGAGCGCAGAACTAAGTTTGATATTTTCAATTCAAAATGAGACGTGTCGCAATTCCCGATTATCTTAATTTGTTTGACGATCGGCCTGTCAATAACACCTTGGAGCAGGGATATTATGTTCGGTACAAGAGTTTAGCTCCTGCCACTTTTTCAGGTCCACTTGATTTTTATATTAACGCCCAAACCGATAATTACATCAGTTTAAAAGATAGCTACCTGTCGGTTAAAGTGAAAGTCACAAATAGTGATGGCACAAAACTGGCAGCCTTTCTCGCTGATAGCTCAAATATGGTTTCGCCTGTAAACAATGTACTTTCCAGTTTATTTTCCGATTGTTTGGTTTCTATAAATAATACACAGATATCACAGTATGCCGGGCTATATCCCACTAAAGCCTACATTAGTAATTTTTTAAATTACGATTTCGATTTGAAAGATAGTTCATTAATTACTGAAGGGTATATAGAGGATAATGCTGGAGATCATGATGATTTTATTGGAGCAGCTCTTCTTTTAAGAGATAATTGGATTGCATTGTCGAAGGAGCATACATTTGTGGGTAAAATCCATAGTGAGCTTTTTCAACAAAATAAACCTCTTCCCGTGGGTTGCTCGCTTGCCTTGAAGCTGATTCCCAGCTCAAGTGATTTTGTTTTAATGTCGAAAGTTGCCGGTGTAAAACTTGAAATCCTAGATGCATCATTAATTGTAAAGCATTTAAAAATTGATAGTGAAATTATTTTGTCACACTTGGAAATTTTAAAAACCAAAAATTATAAACTTCCCATAGTAAAAACCACCATTAAACAACAAATTATTCCTGCTCAATCAATGCAAATCAGTATTCCTAATGTATTTTTAAACCACCTTCCAACGAGGCTTTATATTTGTTTTATAGAGCAAGCAAGTTTAAATGGATCTTTCGCAACCTCTCCTCATACATTTAAACACCATTCCTTAATTGACTATAACATATCTGTGAACGGCTTAAGTTATCCTTCACAAAAATTAAATTTTGACTTTGCAAGCAAAGAAACAAATGAACTGTACAGATACGTATTGGCAAACTGTGGTTTGGTTGATAGTAAAACTAATGGCTGGTCTGTTGATAAATTCAATAACGGATTTTTCATACTCTCAGAAATATTTGGAGGTGATAATAACGGAACTAATATTGAGCAAGTCAACACAGGAACATTAACATTAGATTTTAAATTCAAAACTGCACTAGCTAATGCTCTTTCAGTTATTATAATAGGAGAAACACCTCAAACAGTTAATATTACCCATTCGGGTGAAGTTTTTCTAGAAACTTAAAGGTATAAAAGACACCACCACCAGTCCTCAATTTGTCTTTGAACAGTCAACATTGCTTATGGATTTTATAAAGATATTTGAGAGTCTCGTTTATATTATATTAATAATAACTAATACTAACTAAGTTGTCTTGATTGTAATTTCAATTTAAGTGCGATGAATTCTATTGAACTTTCGGAATTAATTTCTTGCATAGGCGGACAAGTATTTCCGAGTGATAAAATAAAATGCGATAAACTCCCATGCTATGTAATTTCGAATACTCAAGATCACACCCAGAGTGGCTTACATTGGATTTCAATATTCATTTCAAAAAATAAACATTGTTATTATTTTGATTCCTTATCCTTGCCTATTGTACAAAATCATTATAAATTTATGCAGCATAATAGTACGAGGCTAACCAAAAACAATGTTAAAATACAATCTAATTATTCAAACTTATGCGGAATATACGCTGCTTTATTTTTATTTTACATGCATTCTGGAGGATCATATGAAAATTTCTTAAGAAAATTCACTCAATCTCCATTTTTCAATGATGAAATGGTTTTAGAGTTTATAAATAACAAATTTGGAAATCTCTTACAAAATAAACATTACAGAGAAATCTGTCACCAAATGAAGTTGTGAATAATTAAAATATAATTTATATAATCTTAAAAACAAAAACTGATTATCAATAGACAATACCTTCATCCCTTACTAGCATTTATAAAGTCTGGACTATAGGATGTTTGAACAAAAAGTTATTGCTCTATTGATAATCTAGAAACAAATAAAAATCATTGAAACGCAATAATAAAAAAAATTTAAATAAGTAAAACAAATATATATTATCTTGAAAAAGGTAAAAAAAAAAAAACAATGACCTCATCCACAATACCAGCATTAATAAAGTCTGGACCTATAGGATGTGAACAAAAGGGCATTGTTATATATGGAATCTTGAAACTAATACAAAGCAATATGGTACTCTGAAAATAATATTTATAATCAACCTATTTAACCCTCGGAAAAAAATGTATCAATGAATGTAATACCGTATGATGAAAAAAAAAAATTGTACTCTTAATATTAAAGTAAAATATACATGTTTGTAAAATACAAATATCAGCCTGGTCGGTCTCGTGATCTAAAGATCGCGGATTCGATACTTGTCAGAGGCGCCTCAAAGTGCTGCCTATTTGTCAAACGACTCAACTGACTCTAGGCTCGTTAGGTGAGAGGGTTTCGAATTTAATCCCCACCTACCTCCTCTCTCAGGTTTGTGCCGTTTCCTGTGAGGCTTGCCAAATGGTGGGAGGAATGTGAAAGTCCATCGGCACCTGGCAAATTTGTGTATTGGTGTATAATGAAAGATATATCACACAATAAATAACACAAAAATATAAAATATAAACAATGATTTTCATTTATAATAATTAAACCTGAAAATAGGATAACTTACAATAATATTAGCTGAAAGACGTATCCCATATATAGGAGATTGTGGAGGTTTTTTTTAGATTGATACTTGTTTTAGTGGATTGATTCTCGTTTTCATGGATTGATTCTCGTTTTCGTAGATTGATTCTCGTTTTCATGGATTGATCCTCGTTTTCGTGGATTGATTCACGTTTTCGTGGATTGATTCTCGTTTTCATGGATTGATCCTCGTTTTCGTGGATTGATTCACGTTTTCGTGGATTGATTCTCGTTTTCGTGGATTGATCCTCGTTTTCGTGGATTGATCCTCGTTTTCGTGGATTGATTCTCGTTTTGTGCATTGAGTTTTGATGATCAAATGTGATATCAACCTTATGATCGAAAGAGCTGACGCTCTTTCGCTCTCGCTCGGGCGGCGGCGGCGGCGGGCCACGTGTGCTGCTGACCGTTCTCTCTTTCACTGCGCACGAGCTAATTCAATTTTTATTATAGGACGGTTTGGCTCCATCTCTCACGGAGAAAATTGATGAGCACATTTCGAAAGTAGGTCAGGAAGGAGTCGACTCTGTCGCCGAAGGGAAAGTTACGTCACGATGTGACGTCACTGGTGACTGCATGATATGGGTTAATTTCAATTGTGCAATGCCACTGAAGTGGCGGGGGTAATTAGTTATTGCGAAACTAAAATTTGATGATCATCTTTCGAAATTAGGTCAGCATTTGACTCTCTCAAAGGGAAAGTTACGTCACGACACTGGTGATTGCATGAAATGGGTTAATTTCAATTTTGCAATGCCAGTAAAGTGGCGGGGGTAATTAGTTATTGCGAAATAATAAATTTGATGCGTGAATCATTATGCAATCAAGGTCAATTATCAAGGTCAGGGCATGGTAGGTCAAGATCATAGTGGGGTAGGTCAGGGTCAGGGTGGGGTAGGTCAGGGTGGGGTAGGTCAGGGTGGTCAAGGTCAAGCTGGGGTCAAAGGTCAAAGCAATTAAAAAGGGGACTCAAGCCTTCACATACCACTACTAATGGCAAAAACCCTTTGAACTTTTGAAAGGGGGTGGCAGTTGTAATTGACAGAGGAAAGAAATACATATTACATGATAATACATTTTGAACTGCTTGCGCATAATTTGTCAAGTCACTATTGACTGATCCTTTCACTTTTCTAATGCAGAAATAATATTTTTGATGCAATCCTATTCACTGAGAGCCTCATAAGCAGAAAGTTAAGTAATAGAATGGTATTTTAAAAGGCACAAAACCTTCCATCAAAAATGATGGTAAGGGGATTGATTACTTTATTCATTAGCGTGTTGAGTTCCATAATATAAAACAAATTCGTCAACCTCGTTGTTTTTGCTTAAGACCTTCTGCGTCCACATTTCAAAAAGGCATACCGGAGAGAAAGTGGTAAGAGGATGTAAGGGTTGCTTTAAAAATTACGCAGATAAACAAGAAATACAGAAAGATGTAGAGGCTGTAAAATAAAATAAAAGTCGCGCGCACAAAATAAAAATTAACTTTCTTAAACGAAAAACAGTTTGCAGATCATCTGTGAAAATTTAAATAAATAAACTGAGAAAGAACAGTAAAAATCCTTTCTGTCTGTATTTTAAAACACAAAAAAAATTTGATCTGTTAGAAATTGCTTGGATTAATTATAAATAGTGATTTTTTTACGTTATTTGCATTATTTTGCATGTTGGTCACACATGTTGTGTTATTAAATATTATAAATATTATATGATGAAAACCGTTTTAGAAAAAAATAAGCTTAGACATAAATGTTTCCAATGGAGTTTGAATTGAGAACTACATATAAGGAAGGTCATGTATAATGCTGATTGCAGCCTTACCCTTATTGTTAGGTCAAAGTTCATGGTACTCACGTCAACGTGGAGGCCGTGGAAGGGGAAGAGCTTGGTGGAGGGGCTGTCGACGGGCGTGTGGCGGAAAAACTCGCGGGTGCCGCGGTACCACTTGACCGAGTAGAGCGGCGCGCCCTCCAGGTCGTACTCGCACACCAGCGTGACGGCGCTGCCGCGACGCACCACGCCGCCGCCCGGGCGTGTCACCAGCCGCGCCTCCTTCACCGCCAAACCTCCTACAACACAACAAATTGCCAAATTATTAGACCAAAATATTCAAGTCTTGGGAAAATTACAAAAATAAAATTTTAAGCAAAATTCCAATTTAAACAAAGTACCAGAAAATTAATGTTTTATTCAGTTTTAATTAACATTTGATGAATCTCAATTAACAGTCAGAATTTTCACTTAATATTAAAGTGATTTCTGAACCTCCACTACTTTTTGAGTCAACATAATATCAGGCCCTATGAATGATTGTATTTGTGAAACGTAGAGCGCCTAGGTAAATTTACAAATTCAAAACTCAATTAAAGCCTTATATTGGCCTCTCGTCGAATCAGGAAACACTTTCAGATTAAATTGCCGGTTTTTTGTGTCAGTCAAAATCAATTTAACCCAGCCATTGCATGGAAGAATTTTCTTTACCTGCAAATAATGTTGTTTTAAACCTAAATTAAAGGCGTATTATAAATCACAAGCACTTTCACTTTATTAAAGAAATTCAAGTTTTTTTTGCTAGCGAAAACCTTAATTTCCGCAAGATATTCATGAAAATGAGAAAAACGAAATTATTAAGGCGAGTGGAAGTTTAAGCGGCAAAGAAACTTTTTCGCCCTGCGACGAGGTGGTCCGAAAAAGGCTCTCCATTTTCCTTGAAGAAAGAAATGAAAGTTAAAACGTTCCTGCCTCCATCAAGTTTTCCAGAGGCGAAGACTAAATAAAATTGTAACATAATTTAATGTTGCGTAAAAATGGCAATAACTGCTTTTAGACGCGCCAAAAGCCGATTTATTTTCTGCACTTGTTCATAAACTTTTGAATCGAAAAATTCTATGTGATGTAAAAAGCATAATCCTGCTGCCAGGGATTTGTTTTATTATTTTTTTTTTAAATTAATATATATAAAAAAAATGAAATTTCTAAATTTGCAAATTTTTTCAAGTAATGAGCGCAGGGCGAGCGCAGGGCGAGCGCAGGGCGAGCGCAGGGCGAGCGCAGGGCGAGCGCAGGGCGAGCGCAGGGCGAGCGCAGGGCGAGCGCAGGGCGAGCGCAGGGCGAGCGCAGGGCGAGCGCAGGGCGAGCGCAGGGCGAGCGCAGGGCGAGCGCAGGGCGAGCGCAGGGCGAGCGCAGGGCGAGCGCAGGGCGAGCGCAGGGCGAGCGCAGGGCGAGCGCAGGGCGAGCGCAGGGCGAGCGCAGGGCGAGCGCAGGGCGAGCGCAGGGCGAGCGCAGGGCGAGCGCAGGGCGAGCGCAGGGCGAGCGCAGGGCGAGCGCAGGGCGAGCGCAGGGCGAGCGCAGGGCGAGCGCAGGGCGAGCGCAGGGCGAGCGCAGGGCGAGCGCAGGGCGAGCGCAGGGCGAGCGCAGGGCGAGCGCAGGGCGAGCGCAGGGCGAGCGCAGGGCGAGCGCAGGGCGAGCGCAGGGCGAGCGCAGGGCGAGCGCAGGGCGAGCGCAGGGCGAGCGCAGATGAAATCATTTAAAAACTTTCAATCTTCTCAAATATTTGAAAAAAAAAATAATGTCAGTATATTGGAAAACAGTAATTCAAACCTGACTGCCGTAAATTGCTTATTTGACTTTGAAGTTTATTAAGAAAACAATTTCCAAATGAGTATGGTCTGCACTGGGCGATTTTTCTCTTTATAAATAAGTTGTTTTGGAATTAAAAAATTTTTATTGATTTGAGTTATAAAAAAAAGTAATGCATATTTTAATTTTTACGATTTTGTCTTTTATATCTAAATTTTAATTAAAGTAGATGAACCAACACAGGTTGTAAAAATAATCTACTGAATAAGCATTCGGCAAATTTTTTCCTCTATTTTATTTCATACAGTGCATAATATTTAGAAACGCAAATACGGATTGGTGCGCAAAAAATCTCTCGGTGCTCGCTTGTGGGTAGATTGAATATTGTGTTTTTTGTAAAAAAAAAAAAGCTAAACAGGATGATTTCGAATCGAGTCAAAGTACTTATTCGGTATTCCTATATTTTTTCAATAGGAATAATGAGTAAAATTAATCTATTGTTAAATAGAAGCGCTTTTGCCTCGAAATATTGATGAAAAAATTGTGTTGTAGCATGCATAAATTTCATGACAGAAAGAGTGGCTGGGATGCAATTAAAATTTAATCTGCTCCCAAAGAAAAGCTGCTGGTGTGAAAAAAACTTTGGAAGAAAAAATTAAGACGCAAATGATGAGTCTCTCATCCCCCAGCCGCACATTAATTCATTCTGCACGGAAAATGAAGAAAAAAACAACAGAATAGATGCGGCAACTCCAAAAACGCTGTGAAAAGGCATTTCCATCTCTTCAGAAGCATCAGCTTGGCATCAGAATTTTCAAGAGTCTCCTTTACTCCACCACTTGCAAGAGCATTTTTATCACTATAAAAAATAGCATTAAAAAGGAAGATTCTTGGTGCCGATATCCGATATGAAATTGAATCACATGAATTCTCTACTCTCAAAATTAATTTGTAGGTTTTGAACTGTAAAATTCATACATCAAGCGCGATCACTGAAATATTTTTGAAAAACCGGGCACAAGCACGAAAAAATATTATTTGAACGCGATATTTTTTTAATAAAAAATTACATGTCTCTCATTTGTTCCATCTCTTTAGATTTCTCGTATATTGACCATAACGCCATAACAATGCAAAGTGTATTTTATCAACAGATTAAATTGGTTTGAATGTTTACACAAAAGCACGTGGATTTCTCTTTGGGTTTGGTTTAAATTTATTTTAACACACATGCAGATTTAAATCAATGCGTTTATTTCCCCCGCGGAGAGCTTGTTTATTAAATTTGGTGGTATTATTGTTTTCAAATGATAATTGCTAGTCAAAGGGTTGTTTGCCAATATTGTTCTGCATTTGCCAATTATTTAATAAAATTATTGCATTATTCGGAAAGCTCTATAATTTTATTATTTGGAGAGTTGCGTGTCTATTTTTGATGTCACAATTTCATCGCACAAAGTATTATTCGATCGATGCGGCAGAATTTAATTTTAACTTTTCGAGCCTTGGATGTTAAAAAGAGGGACAGCAGCCGCAATCAAATCTCGTTTATCCCCCGGTTTGCAAAATGGACCTTGCGCAATGGACCGACTCTTCTTGCCAAATCAGATTAACCACAAACAGTTCTGCAGTGAAATTTCACCAGAGAGTTAATACTTTTTCCGTGAAAAAGCGATATTGATTTATATTTATACATAAAAATTGTTCTGCTTTTTGTCGAGAGTGTGGAAAAAGCAGCAAGGGATTTAAAAGAAGCAAAGATGGGTATATTAGATTGTTCTTTTCCTATTTTCTCAAATCATATTATTCTGCGGTCGATTTGCGAAATAGTTGTTTCACCAGAGAGAGCACCGCACTCATGACTCCATGAAAAAACATCAAGATTAAAGTAACTCGATAATCTGAATGCACTTTTCATTCTAACTTAAAATGTTTCTTTGCAAAAAAATGAGGGTTTCTTTTTAGTGGAAAAATTGTGCTGAAAATTAACAAATGAGTAGTTTTAGAATTTTTAAAGAAGATTTGTCTTTATGTCAGCTTTCGTATATAGTTAGATGTGTTTTCAAAGAAATTTTTGTGTGATTTATTATTATCTAAGCCAGCGTTTTTTTTTGTGCAAAGAAAAGGCTCACATAAAATCGCATTTCAACTTCCGTACCCTTTACTGCGTGGGCCTATTGAATTAGTAAAAACAAAAATAGCCGCAAGAGAAGCAAAAGAAAAGTGCTGTGTTTCGTTTCTGCTCGGCTCTGTTGTGCCTCGTCCTTCGTCGTGAAAAGAAAAGGCCAAACAATGTAATCTCTCTCCATCCACCACATTTTGCCTTTCAAGAGAAATCTTTTGGCTAAATGCCTTCAAGATTTACGAGCCGCTACATTTTGAATCGACCCAGGCACACCCAAATGAATTCCTTTTATTTCTCTTTTATAGTTTTTCCGCCTCCACCTGCGAATAATTTCGCTATTTTTCATTCTGCAAAGGAAAGCAATTTGGAAACGCGTCAAGTGGAGCGAATAATTCACAGCCACTTTAAAGCTTGCTCAAAATGGTGAATCTTCTTATGTGAAGTTAAATATTTATTCAGGGACCCAAAATCGTAAATATTTTTAACTTCCCCGCGTCTCTGGAGAAAAGCAATCTGCGTGCTTGAAAAATGAATTTAAAATTTTGTTTACCATGACTGCGAGGCAATTAGCGGAAATTGCAAATTCCAGGCCTTGCGCAAACACACCTCTAAAAGGAATTCTAAGAATTTTCTAAAATATTTTCAAACTGAGGGAAAATCAGCACCCAACGTAGAAAGCTCCATTTTAGCCAATTATCTTTTCTCTCTAATTCTATTCCACTTTGCCAAGTAAGGAAGATAATTTCATTGCAATTTCCTGCCTTTTGGGCGGACAGAGCGTCCGTTCCTGTCTTTTGTGCACCGCTAATTGTGAAAAATGGCCAGCCGACTATCAGCTTCTCTTTCTTGGCTCCTTGAAGAGAATGAATTGTTTGTTAACCATGAAGCATTCATTCATTGCATAAATTATTTTTAATCCTTTGGAAAAATTGAGATAATTCAAAGAAAATGGTATTCTTATTAATAATAGTTGTGATACTTTTTCCAGCCTTTTTCCAAGATTATTTTTCACGTTTCTTGAACTCTACACCTCAACACATTAATTTGGCTGAAAATAGGCAAAAACAAAAGGAGGAAGTTGAAAGAAGCAGTATAGGCGTTTATTTGTAGGTTGGGAGTTGGAAAAGGCGGCGTTGGAAATTGGCACCGTTTGTCGGCGGAAATATCGGAGCCAACGTCAGCAGTACCGCCATATCGACCACTTTGTATGCGTTCCCCGTCCGAGAGTAAATGACGATGTTGAGCAGCAGGGAGGGTGTTCCGTCGCGAGACAGAACCACAATCAGCAGTCGGAGAACATAAGATGGGGAAGACTTTAGAGATCTGCAACTTCCTTTAATTTCAGAAAAAATGATGCCAAAAGAA